TATAAAAAATTGACGTTTTATATACAATTATTATTATTGTATATTGCATATCACGTATTATTTTTCGAAATTCTTAAAAATGTATTAAACATTACAATTTTTTAAACATGATGTATTAAGAATATTATCAAAGAAATTTTATCAGTTTTTTTAGAATTATATCAAAAAGATTACAGATAGTAATAATTTATTTATTGCCAATAGAATTACATAAATCATACATTATCACAATCATCGACGAGATACTATTAAAAATTGTCGGCCCCGGGCAAATTTTCATGACTATTAATGGGGCCATGGAGGTTCGGGGATAATTGAAAAACGTTACTGACAATTAATAAAAATTTATGATTATTAACATAAATATTTCGATAATTATTAAATTCGTGATTTTTTTATTATATAAATGTTGTATAAATAAGTATGCATACTTTTAATGTTATAATATTTTATATATTGCTGAAAAATTTATTTACAATTTTTTCTCTGCAGTTATCATCTTTATTCATAATCAACTCGGAAAATCACAATTTTAAATAAAAATCGAGTACTATTAAGTTTTAAACATATGTACATACATGTCTACGAAACTAATAAATCATAAAATTAATACCATATTATATTAGTTTCTTACTTTAATCACTTAAATTTTAACAGGCACACGAACTTCCATAAGCGCCGTTCGTCTTTAATAATATCTCGTCGGTTCCACAATATAGATAAGAACAATAGATTCACTCAATCAAAAAATGATATTAATGATCATTCCTCGCGCATAATCGTTCTAATAACATGGTTCTAATAACAACTAATAACATGGCGCACCAATTAGTTTCTTTTCTATTTAAATACAATTTAGAGAAGCAACTTCGATCTTATAGGCGCACTGAGAGAAAAACGTTTTGTATTTGTAACTATAATTATGATTATTATTGCTATAATAATAATGATAACAGTAATTATGTATATTTCTAGCAACAAATGTATATAGTTGGCAATTTAAAATGACTATAATTATTATAACCATAAAACAGTTAAAATTATAGTCACTTTCAAATCATAAAAATTATATTCACTTTTTTTTTAAATTATAGTCACAGTTTTATGATAATTTCAACTATGTTATGGTTATAATAACTATAATTATAGTCATTTTAGGTTGCCAACTATATACATACATTTAACTATATATTGGGTTTGTTTCGGAAAATTCGTGCCGCAAAAGATTTAAATTTAATAAATGTATACTAAAATTTAAATCTTCTGCGTTTCAATTTTCCTTCAAAATCGACACTTTCCGGACAACCCAATACATACATTTGTTACTAGAACTATATAATTACTGTTATTATTATTATAGCAGTAATAATCGTAATTATAGTATATATAATTTTTTTCTCAATGCGCTCATGTACAATTGGCAACATTGGCGGTCATTTAACAGTCAGGTCAAAGTCGACAAAATGAACCTACGTTCTTATATAAAATTTTAAATGTTAATTGCGCTCTCGGGATTAAAAAAATATAATCAAATATATCGGGTTATAAGAGCATTAATACAGCAAATTGGTGCGCAAATTTTAATATAATTGACCAATAATGTCTACATAAAATATAAATATGCAATAGTTGTCTGTACTATCTTATTCGAACGTTTCGGTTTTCTTCCAAACCATCATCAGCGAATCCATAAATACTATCGTAGATAAATACTTCTATCTTGACAATAATCTTGTGACATTGTTGAAATTCAAATCTATGTAAGACTGAGGATGAGCATTTCCCTAATTTCTGATTGGGAATAGTCGTAATTTGTTCTCTTCGTTAAAAAGCCAAGTGACTGATCTGCTCATTCTCCACAGATTACAATTCATTATTCCAAATGTAGGAAATCAAGTTGTACAAAAGAATGATAACAAGAAATATAAAACTTAGTTTTACATTATACGATATAAAATTATAACATATGTTATCTCAACGGGAGTCATGCAGACAAGTAATGCTTTTTCATGTAGATTATTGGTCAATTATATTGAAATTTGCGCAATTTTCGTGCTGTGTAATGTTGTTATAACTTGATCTACTGTTCTTATTTATATTAACATTACGTTCATATTTAGAAGAAGAATCTACATCACTTACACATTTGCACTGCCGGCATGGCACTTGCGAAAAATAAAAATAACAGAAAAAAAAATAAGCAAGCGATATTGCTGCCCACATTTTCCGCATTACCACCGAAATTATAAAAAATTGTTCCTAATAACAGCCCGACTATGATGTGTGTCGCCAATCTTAATTGTGTAAACAACTATAAGATCAATAAAGAAACAATAACATTTGATATTTCAAGCACATTGTTCGAATATTACTTTCAAAAATTTCTACTCACAATATCTCGCCTCATACAGATTAGAGCTCGTAAAAATAATATTCTTTGCTGCTGCCATGTTGATTTTTTTAATACTATTCTGTTTATGGAAGTATTTATATCGTGAGTTTTATATTTCTGCTTAGAATCAATTAATGAATCCAATTCTATAAAAAATCGTTTATTATTAAAAGTAATTATTAGTAATAATTAAAAAATTTGTTTCTTACATTTTTATATGAATGATTTTACTTTGTATTTTTATGTTTCTTAAATGATTAATTTTATACATAAGGAATTTAACTGATTTCATATTTTAAAGAATCTATGTAGGTCGTTTGAAAAGTTTTAAGCCTCAACATGAAGATGATATTATTTGTCAAAACCATTCTGATACTGCAATCATACATGTTTTGAAAGATACCTGTAAAAATTATAATTATTTTGGGTGCTCAGTTATTGCTTGACAATCATGTGGCCAGTCGATGACAGTGTTTTTGTAAAAATGGAAAAAATCGAATATCGCGCATGCCGTGTTTAAGTTCTTGCATTTGAGAAACAATATACCTGCGCAAATTAAAGCAGAGTTAGACGCTGTTTACGGAGGCTCTATCCTATCATTTACCACCGTGAAAAGATGGACAGCTGAATTAAAATGTGATCGTGTCAGCTTGAATAATGATGAGCATTCAGAATGGCCAATAATTGCAATCACTACCGATATCATCAAAAAAGTTCACCAAATGGTATACAATCCTTGAATTAAGGTTAGAGAGATAGCAGAGACTATGGAAATGTATCGAAAAAACGTGTTTCATATATTGAAGAATGAAGCATGCATAAATTAAGCATTGGATGACGCGCTTGCTCACTGTAAACCAAAAAATGCATTCGAATGAATTTTCAAGGTTCTGTTGAAATGATTTAAGCGAAACGGATTTTTTGCGTGAATTAATAACTGATGAAACTTTGGATCTATTACTTCAATCCTGAGACGAAGGAATAATCAAAACAGTGGATTGCGAAGGGTGACCTGCACCGAAAAATGCGAAGATAGTTTCATCGACCGGACGGTGGATGACTGTTTTTTGGGATAGTCATGAAATTGTGTTCATCGCCTATCTTGAAAAAGTAAAACAATAATGTGAATATATATATACACAGGGTGGCCTACATAAAGTATTATAAGCTAATAACTCTAAAAATATTTGTCCTATCAAAAAGTTGTTCATGAGAAAATTTCATATATTCAAAGAGCCTTTTTAACTAAACAAAAATCCACTCTTCAAGAGGGGTAACTTCAAAGTTTCAAATGGGACCTGTAAAATGATATATATTTAGATTCTATTCGAGGAAAAACAAGTAAACTTTGTCTGACATATTTCTTTGAAAAATATTTCCATCAAAAGTTATAAACATTTAAACTTTTAGCCATTTTATTCATGATTGAACTCCATTGACACAAAGTTATTCACGATATAATGAAAACGAAAACATCTTTAATATTAACTAAAAGAAACAAATACACATTTATCGAGAAACATATAAATCTACTATATATTTACAATACAAATCTACTATGTATTTAATTAATTTTGAGTTGATTTTCATGCTATCAAGTTTGAAATTCATGGCTCATTTTGACGTGGAAGTTACAATGTTGTGAAGTCTGGGAGAATGTGAAAAAAATTATCGACATATGCAGCGCAATTATTTTTAAAACATATAATATTCAAAATCATATATCATATTTCTTCGTTTAGAAAATCGTTTGTATGCACATGTCGATTAAGTGCAATTAAAAGACAAAAAACAAATCCAGTAATTAATTATGATAATAGTGTCAACATTCTCGCAGCAGTTGAAGTAAATCCACACATCAGTCAACACAATTAGCAAACACGTCTGGAGTTGGACATTTGAAGTTGGAGTATATATATATATATAATGTATCATTAATTGACAAGTTAAAGCTAGAAATTGCGAAAAAATGATCGCATTTGAAGAAGAAAAGAGTGCTGTTCCATCGAGATAATCATCTCGCATTTCGATTGCTATGGCAAAATTTATGAATTGCGATTCGAATTGACCATCCACCGTATTCAACAGTCCCCAGCGACTTTTTTCTGTTTTCTAAGCTCAAAGTTTGGCTCAGAGGCTAGAGATTTTCACCGAAAAAGTAGATCATTGCATCCGTAGAAGCCTATTTTACAGAGCAAGATACCAATTATTTGAATAAGTTAAAAGAGTGGAAACATCGAAAAAAGCCTTATCAAAAGTTTAAAAGAAGAATTACTATATTGAAAAATAAAATTGAATTTGACCGAAAAAATACTTGTTTCTATAGGTCTGTTTTTTATAGCTGCACTCGCTGCACAGAATTGATGCACAGTCCAATAAGCAGAGAGATTTCTCTCTGGTTGAAGTGAAACAAATATACGTTTGTTTTACTTCAACTTATTGCGCCATGTGCATCAGTTCAAAGAGTGCAGCTATAAAAAACAAATCTTATATTAGACTTAAAACTTTTTAAACGATCCTCACTATATTCCTCTATTAAAAGATTCATGCTTTTGTAAAAAAATGCAGTAAATATTCGACAGGTAAGACACTAATACTTTTGCCATTCAATCATCGCTAAACAAGATGAAAAATTATTGTATAAATTGTACTAAAATTATAATTATTAATGAATTATTAATGGATTATTATATTGACATAATCGAGATAATTAAGAATAAAATGTTTAAGATTTAAGTAATAAATACATAATATATTTACCATTTTCATTGTGTTTATTGTGTAATCTTATCTTTTCGTATTCATCGCGACAGATCTTGTATAGATTTTCCAAATCCCCACCTCTCTGCTCGGTTATTACCTCAAGTACTGCAAATAGAAGAATCAATATCAATTGTTCTTTGTTTTTTTAATTATAGATTTAATCGCGTTGAAACTTGTACTTTTTGCATTCAGAGTCTTTGTTTTCTCTCAAACAACAAATCTTATGATGTCTTTAAAGCATTTTAATTTATAAAGTACAAAATAAAAAATTCGGCAATTATTTAAAAATATACTTATCACAATGTAATACATATTTTTTTCCGATAAACTTTTATTCAATATTTTTGTCTTAAGATCTCTAGAATTTAAGCTAAAAAATTATTAAAATAATGTTACTGTACATATAAGTATTCATATTTCTTATTTTGATGCTTATTCAAATATTAAAAATTAAATAAAATATTAGCCTGTTCAGTGTTGTGCAAGATACTCTATTTTCAGTACCTAGGTAAAAGTATAGATACTTTGGAAAAAATATACTGATGTATAGGTATAGGTACTAGAAAAATAAAATATTTAGTACAGATAGTACGATATCTTAAATGTACTTTAAAAGTATTACCAGCATATAATTTCGTTTCCGTTCGATTTCCTTTTGTTAAATATAAAATTATAAACAAATAGAGAAAGAATTCGAATAAATCGCTTTGTCATTATCATTTCTAGCTTTTCTAGCATACATCAGAGCAGACATGACTGTATACATGTTATCATTCAAGAAATCAAACATTGTGTAATTCCATCTTTTCAAAGTTGTCTTGTTAGGAAAGTATCATCCAAAATTAAAATATACCTAATATAGGTACCAGTACACAAGAAAAGGTACCTAGGTACAGATATCAGAAAATAAAAGTATGGGTTAACTTCGGTACAGTTCTTAGGTATGTAAATTTGTATCTAGTTACAGTATCTAGGTACTTGTATCTGTCTACTGCACAACACTGATTGTGCTACATATATATTTTTTAAAGTAATTATAAAATGTATTTAAACAATTTATATTGCAAATTTAATAAAAAATAAATTCTAAAGTTACAAAATATATTTAAAAATGTGTACAACTCTATTTTATTGTATATTATATATTATATATATTGTCAGTGCCTTTTTAATTCTTTTATTCTCTTGTAATTTTTTTATTAATCCAGATCAGTAGAGTAAACATTACCAAATTCGGCTATGTTATAGAAGCTGGGACATGTGAACCCAGCAATGCTGTACGTGTTTAAGATCTCACTCTTGGGACCGCAGTACATACATCTGCCTTGATTGAGTACCATAATGTTATCAAAAAGCGAAATCATCTGACTACTAGGTTGATGTATTACGCAAACCACAGTGCAATTTGCACTCGCCATATTGTGCAGCATGTTAATGAGCTTAAAATCAAATGCAAATTGTTCCAACATTAAAGGCACATTTTTTATGAAAAATAGTGAATTGTAACATTTTAATTACATTGTAATCTTGTCTGTGTGCTATTATTAGAATATTCTGCGCTCGTATAGAATTCTTAGCAGAATATAATAAGAGATATCAATTTATGCTAAAAAAATAACACTTTTAACAAGTTATTGAGATAGCTATTAATAATCTGCACTGTACCTGATTAGAGGCTATACTATCTAGACCGCTTGTTGGCTCATCTAATAAGAGAACAGATGGCTTAGTGATCAATTCTACGCCAATGGAAAGTCTCTTCCGTTCGCCACCGCTTAATTTATTCGCCAATGTGTTCAAACAATATGATAAGTTAAGACTCTTCACAATATCGTTTACCTGAAGAAATAATATCTGATGTGTACAATGCATCAATTTATATAACTTTCCTCGCAAATAAAGTATACTGGTAATGTTAACAATATATATATATAAAAATATATTAATTATATACATTTATATACAATTATTATACACATTAAATAATATTTATATTCGTATATTTTACTTACAACTAAATGAATCGCGTGTTCGTTTTGATTAACATTGAGTTTCAGTCGTGCCGCTATATAGAGAGTTTCTCTAATTGTGAGGAACGGCAACAGATCGAATTGTTGCGGCACATAACACACCTTTTTGCAAAACATCCTTTTATTCTGTTCAACACCATTTATGGTGATGGTGCCCTTAATATTGATTAGTCGTTTGGCTATGATTTTCAGCAAAGTAGTTTTTCCCGCGCCGGAAGGACCTAGGATCACCGTGACTTTTCCTGGTTCGAAGTGCCCCGTTAGATTATGTAGGATTTTTTTTTCAGGTTCTACGAAGTAAACATTCTTCTTTAACTATTATATATTTACACATAAAAAACGCATATATATTACAATATATATTTACGGTTTTAGATATTAAGATTCATGAATTCATGCAGATTTGTTGAGACAATGCCTTATATAACTATTGTAATTAATTTTTTATTAGGTTTTATTTTAAGTAAAAAAATATTTCATTTTATAAAACACGCAATTTGTATTACAAAGATTATATAATGCTTTATATTTTCTCGACAAGTCCCTATGTATGTAAATTTATCTCAATGCATAAAAACATACATGTATGTAACACGTGTTCATACTTTTACATGTATTTAAAATAGTTATACCTCAACTATCCAGCAAACTACTCAGAGAATGGATTAAAATGGATTGAAATTTTTTTCTATCCGAATGCGTATTTTAAATAGCAAACACTTGTTTTGGATTTAATTGGATTCAATTGGATTCAATTAGATTCAATTGGATGCAATTGAATTGAAAAACTGCATTTTCTATTCAAAATTTTGAATTGAACAGTATTCACAATGCACAGAAAAAGCTAATATTATTTTTAGATTGAAAGGCATAGAGATATGCTCCATGCAATCCTATAAATGCATTCAGGATTGAAAAGCATTTTAACATTCGTGAATCAATATTTCTGAAAATCTGAATCTATTTCAATCCATTCTCGTTTGTTGGATATGCAAGTCAACACAGTGACAGTGACTCAAACATGTATTTAAATAAATAAATATATCGCTATGCAAAATCTAAAAATAATAAAATAAAGTATTTTATATATTTACAATATTAAATTATAATAAAATAAATTAATTTAAGAAAAAAAAAGAAAACCTCTATATCACGTAGTAAATAAGAGGAATTAAATCGTGACAACGTCGCAGACGAATATATATAGGCACAAGTTATTTGTCAAGATATTTATTACGAAAGAAAAAAATTTCCGTATAATTATGTTAATAAGGGAAATATCAAAAATACAATTTTAACAAAAAAAGTGTAAAGTAGTTCTCGCGAAGACAAGAATGTGAAAGACAACATCCTTGTCCTCGAAAGTGTGATATTGCCATATCTAATAGACGATAATAGATTCTCGAGAAAATATATAAAATTAAGATTTTTTTTATTGATTCAAACTTTAATATCATGCGATAAATATTTACAGTGTTGTTACACGAGTTTCTTACGAATTTAACTATTTGAGACTCATTTTTCAATAACTTTTTAAATGTGATTTCGAGGCTGTATAAAAATTCGTATCGTATCACTGCAAAAATAGCTATACTACAAGTAGATATAAAAAAATCTGTAGATATAAAAAAATCAATGTTTGATTGATTATATATCAGAAATTCGAATTCATCTTTTACGTGCAAGCATATGTATTAATATCTAAATTACTTGAAATAAAAATTTCAAGACATTCTTGAATAATGCATTTTAGAATACAACTAACTTAATTCCATATCTGTATACAAATTTTATGCACGAATATGCATAAATATATATATAAATATATA